AAAAGACACAGATAACGCAAAAAAAAAAGACACAGATCACCCCCTTACCGTTCAGGGTTTAGGGTTTCGGGTTTGGGGTTAAGGGCGCTCCTTACTTTGATGCTTCCGAAGTCGTCCATTTTATGGAGATTCGGTGCCAGACTCTCCAAAAATTCCCAAGTGTTGGACTGGACCCCCACGCGAAATCCAATCCCAACCCCCAACCCCTCACCCCTCCCCCCCCCCACCCAAGTAACTGTGGAAACGGCGAAAAAAACTACGCTCGCACCCCAAATCGCGAATCCCTGTAGACCCTGACACTTCAATGCCTCCAACCCTTCAGAGCCCCACAGCCGTAGCAGCTGTGTAGGCCAAGTTTAAGAAAATGCCCCCGAGGTTCCCAGCAGGGTCTGCCCAATTTGGGATGTCCATGCACCCAGTGCATCGGCCGGCGGACAAGACATAGCCCCCTTTGCACCTCTTAGGTTCTGGGCTTCAGGCTAAGACAAGGTGCACCTACGGATTTAGGAAGGCAAACGGGCATGGGGGGCATAGGACTAGGAGTTTTGCGATCTGGCGGGACTACGGCAGGGTGTTTGGCACTCTATGAGTCCGTGTTCTCAGCCCAAAACTCCAAGAAACGAACCCTAAATCCCAATCCCCCGTCTCCAATCCCTACCCCCCCCCCCACTTCTTGCATCCAGTCTGGTCGGCGTTGGGCTCCGCGCAGCCCGCGCACCATGTGCTGCCCTGAGGGCAACCTGAGGCCACTGCAAGGGGGGGGGGGGGGGGGTTTGGGGGTTTCAGGGTTCAGGGGGTTGGGGTTCTTGGACATCTGCACAAGCCCCAGAACACACCCTGAAAGATCCCTGCAAACCTTCAACAGTCTCCCCCTCGCCACCGAGCAGCAAAAACGAGGATTCCAGATGGGCGTACCCTCGCCGTTGCTGCAGAAGTCCCCCGCATGCCGTGCACCTCCGGAACTGATGGGCCTCTTTAAAGCATGCTTGGAGCCTTCAAAACCGGAAACTCGGGCTGAAATCCGAAACTCGGTCAACAAATTGAGCTTATGGGCCGCCACTAGCCGCTTGCACTGAACAAAGTTCAAGGAGTAAAACTAAACTACACAACTTCTCAAAACTCACAAGGAAGGAAACACTGTGAAGAGTTCGAAGAATTGACGAGACCATGGGTCCACAATGGGACACCGATCGGGACAATGATGTCCATTTTGGGTGTAGGGTTTAGGGTTTAGGGTTTAGGATTTAAGGCGTCGAACACAGGGCCTAGGGTGTGCCAAGCCACACCTATTGTGCCACGTCCAATGGTGCACTCAAACGCTCCACGCGTTGTGTTTCCTAACATCTTGCTACTTTTTGGCAGTCCACCGTGAACCATAATAGAATAAGGGCATCCTTTCTTGCTGCGTAAAGGGAACCTACAACAGGTTGGTTACTGTTTAAGGGAACCTAGAACCAAAAACAAAGGGAAAGGGTACCTCAAGAAGATGAAGGCCTGGTGCAGCTCTCGTTGTGCAAACCGCACCGCAATCTTCGCCGCGTCTCGTTGTTTTGCGTAACCTTTCTTCTCTACGTACCGCGGTTCTCCCCGCTACTTTAATTACCATTTCATGCCTGGGTGAGTTGTCCGAGCATGAGAAAGAGTCCCCGCAGTTTCTTGCTGTGTGGCTGCCATTGCGGTTCTTGTAACTCGATCGCTCTGAAGCATCACTTGCAACGGTTGCCGTCTGGCAGGTGGCATATGGTCTGCCGCCTAATGCTCTTTGTACTCGTCTGCACAGGGCAGGTGGATCATCGCGGCCATCGGGTTCAGATCCCGAATTTCTTCCGAAATGCCTGGAGATCGGTGATCGGTGCAGTTTCTCAATCTCTTCCGGGGCGATCGTAACCAGGAGGTCATTTGCGAAGAACCGTGGAGCTTGCTCCACCGCCTCGTTGCTCCTGGGTCACGGAAGCACCGTGCTTCCAAGGAAAGGGCGGCTGGTGCTCCAGGCAGCGTGGAGTAAGGTGAGAATCCGTCAGTGCGAAGCTCCTGGGTTGTCACTACGCACAAAAGTGTACTGCCAATCAAAGAGAAAGCACAGTGAACAGAAATCAAAGGGGAACCAACCCTAAACCCCCAAAAGCAGCCAAGAAAAAGGCGCCTCTCAGCTGGCGAGCCTTGCGCTGCCGGAGGTGCGATGCTGTGCAGAGCTCGAAACCCACACTGGGCCCCTTGTCTTTGATTCCTGCGCAGCGTGGAAAGGACTGCAGAGCCCTCAGCATAAAGCTCGCGAGTTAAGACTCAAAGGTGCCTGAAGCACCGGAAGCGCTCCGAAAGCGCTCCGAAATAGAATGGCAATTGTCATCACCTAAGTACTAAGAGCCCTAGGCACCCTCAAAATGCCTTGAGAAGACCCCTGACATCCTGACACAGAACTTCCTAGCGCAAACCCTAAACCCTAAACCCTAAACCCTAAACCCTAAACCCTAAACCCTAAACCCTAAACATTGAGAGACGAGCCCGGAACCCAAGAAATCCCACCACCATTTTTGAAGGTTTAGGCCTTGAAATAAGTTCAATTTCTCAACTATTATTGTTGTTTTGAGTTCAATTTCTGACTTGTAGAGTTCAATTTCTCAAAGGCCCATTTCACACTTTCTAGTTGTAAATTAAGCTTATTCTAGTCAAATGACTTGTCACGCTGTTCTCAGAAATAATTATTTTTGTCGGTCCTAAGCCTAATTCGAGTCATTTTCGTCCAAAAAGGGTTTTGGAAAGTGCTCATATTTCTTCTATCTCACTTCGTTCTGTCAACCATTAGAAACAGGGGTTCTTGTGTGTCATCCTGTTCATGGGTGCGTCAATCATTCAGTTTCTACGTGACAGGAACTCTCTTGACAAGGAACCCACCCTCGGGACTCATTCCAAACCACCTATTGAATCTAGAGAACCAGTAAAAGACTCATGAATAGAATGAATCCTAGACTTGGAGATGTTAAAGCCTTTTCCACTGTCATCCCCTGGTAATAGATGGAGAACCTGATGTTGGGGTCCCGAGGGTGGCTTCTCTATGAGTGAGAGATTCATTCACGAGGTTAACGCTCAATTGAATAGGTTTCTAGTACATTTAGTTCCAGCACAGATGAATGGAGGCTGTGGAACAAGAGTGAGAGAGATGAATGGTACGGTTTCTAGGGGCGGTTCGTTCTCTCTCTTTTAATAGCGGTTTTCATGCTTCTCTTCGTTCATTCTATTTCATTGTGTTCTCGATTCACTTCGTTCATTGAAACACCATTGAAATAGAATTCTCTTCGTAATATTAACCCGGCTTTATAAGGACTAAAAGGACGCATGAAAGCCGGGGTGAATATTATGAACGAAGTTAGGGGCGCACAGTACAAAAAGCCTTATTTCGTGCGCCATGCAAATAAAATTAAAGGGCAAATTATTAGTGTGAATGTAGCGTGAATACATGAACTGCGGTAATTTAATTCACTTCATTCACGTAATAATTTAATGGGAGATTCTGTGAGGTTATTTAGTTCTCTTCACTTTAATAATATTGTGTGCGCTTTTCTCATTTAATTCGTGCACAAGTTTACAATTCACTTCATTGTATTCACTTGGCTCACTACGTTCACCCTAATAATAAAGGTAGTTCATGAGTCTAGTTCTTTGCGGTCACACTCAGGAGCTGACAGCGAAGCTCATACCGACCGGATACCCTTTCTAAAGACCCCCGGTTGGTTTAGGGTTTAGGGTTTAGGGTTTAGGGTTTAGGGTTTAGGGTTTAGGGTTTAGGGTTTAGGGTTTAGGGTTTAGGGTTTAGGGTTTAGGGTTTAGGGTTTAGGGTTTAGGGTTTAGGGTTTAGGGTTTAGGGCTGAAACGGTACCCCTAAACCCTAAAGGCCCTTAACCCTAAACCCAAAACCCGGTCCCGGCAAGGGCCAGGTGTCTCTCGCCAGGCTCAGGGGCGGCGCATCATTGGCCACCGCCCCGGGAGCCTGCAAAGAGGCGCGTGGGTTTGGGTTTAGGGTGTAGGGTTTATAGGGTTTAGGGTTCATAGGGTTTATAGTTAGGGTTTAGGGTTCAGGGTCTAGGGTTTAGAGTTTGGAGTTTAGGGTTTTAGCCATTGGGCTCGGGGATTTTCAGGTTTTCGGGGTTTGGCGGCCTCCAAGATCGTGAGAAGTGCCAGCACCGGCGCCGCGAGCATCGGGGGAAACAGCGTCGATGCGGGACTTCTTGGCCAGAATCGGCTGCGGGTTCCCCCACTGGGTTTTCGGGCGCTCTAAACCCTAAACCGTTCAACCCGAAACCCCAAACCCTAACCCTAAACCCTTAGCCCTAAACCCTCAGCCCTCGAACCTAAACCCTAACTCGAGGATTACTCGAGGGAAGCCAGCCCGGCAACAGCCCGCGCTTGTCTCCCGTCTTGCCTGCCGTGTCGGCGAGCTTTGTTGCGGCTTGGCAGGGTCTGGGATTTTCGAACGGCTGTCTCCCTTAGCTCTGTTTGTCACGGCGGCGCAACACAAACGAACCCTCTGCTATCCTCAGAAAACAATGCAGACCCCAATCACACCACGGAATGCTTTAACCTTGCTTTTTGTTTCATGGTAGAGCATTAGAGCATGCATAGAAGACGGTTTAAGTAAACTGTTTTCTCACGTGAGGTTTGGGATCAAATCGGGCAGATTCTTCTGCTGGCAACTTCTTCCCAAGCGGCCAAAGCTACGCCAGCTATGGAATCTCCTCATATGTCCGGACCCTCTTAGAGGGACTCTGGATCAAGAGCCTATAGTGTTCGTCGAGGGTCTGGGGTCTAAGGGTCCATGGAAAGCAAGAACAGGGGCTGGATTCGCGAGGCTGCTCATAACTGATAACTGCTGTGGGTCGTTCCCAGCTTTGCTGGAAGACATGCCCCACACTATACGATGTGCTATGTCATATGTGTGTGTGTGTGTGTGTGTGTGTCTCGTCTTCTTCTTCCCTTGTTATCTTGGCAGACCTGGGACATCATCCTCAGACCATGTCGTCGTGAAAATTGGCAGTCTGCATCTCATCACTTTCCTGGAAGGTTTGGATTGGCCGAAAGCACCCACTCCCAAGGCAATACCAAGGTGTCGAGCTACTGGCGGAGCTCGCGAACCCAGAAGATGTGCCCCAAGGGCAGTCGTCTCTAAGATGGCTTAATGATTTGGAGTCCTACAGTAACTTGGGCGAGCAATATAGGGGCCTTGACAATTAAAATCGGGTTTGGATAAATATAAATATAAACAAACAAATAAACAAATAGATAAATAAACAAACAAATAAATAACAAAAATATATACATATATATATATATATCTGTATATATATATAACGACCATAAGGGAAGACTGTTAGTAATTCTTCCGACCCCAGTAGTAGGAGTTTGCGTGACGCCCTCCTCCATCTCGGAGTCCGACTCAATGGTTGGCGTCGACCTCACTGTCGACCTCACCGTCCAGCGCGGCTTCGATCGCGACGCGTCGTCAGGAACCTGTAGCCCAACCCTAGAAAATAGAAAACCCGTAGAACGAAATTCACGCTGACCCAGCACCACCCCCCAAAAAGTATGTACCCCTTTATTGCAAAGGTACTCCAAAAAACAATGTACCCTCGGGACTCTTGGGGCTTTTCCGAATGCAGGGGTACCCTTTTTGGGGGGTCCCTTTTGAAGGGATTCTATTGGATTTGGGGTATGGTCCATTTTGGGAATTCCCCAGATTGCATGGGGGGCACCGTGTCCCTGATCTTCATGGCCGCTTTCTGCTGCGCCTGCCGCGGGTGCAAGGCTTGTGGGTCGGGCGTTTGACACCTAAACCCAAGTAACGTGCGAGGGTCCCATTTTGAAATACTATCAGTAGGGTCCCGGTATGGATTCCTCACTTCCTGGGCGCCTAGAATATAACGACACGGAGCCTGAGACTTAGGGTACCCCGTAACCTGGACTTGAGAGCTTGGGCCGGCTTCAGTTCTTCTGAGGTTTGGGGGTTGAAGTTGGAGAGTGCTAAGTTGAAGTTCAGGTATGAGCCACTGGGCCTGTCTATACTGAAACAGCTTGGAGGTCAACATGCCGCAAGACCTATGTGGTGAAGGCCATGAACACCTGATTAACCTAAGAGAGCGTGCGCGAATGGTTGTTCAAAACCCACTTCCGCGAAGTCCTAACTCCTAACCGTCCTAGCCTTTAAACCGTAAACCTCAACCCTAAACCACAGGGGCATCTCCCAGAGTAGGGCGCCCCCCTTACATCTTGTCACGCTGTAGAATCTTGCCCCTAATTTTCGGAAAGTCTCGCGTTCAGCCCATGGAGAAACATGGCGAAATCTGTCTACGCTGGCTACAGTAGGCGTTAAGCAGCTTCCATGCCTTGAGCAACCGGAGGCATCCCTAAAGACCCTAAAACCTCATTCCCTACACTTTGCCTTTATGAGATGCCTGGCCCGTGTGCCTTCCACTGATGGGCTGCGCGACGCATTTGCACCCATGTGATGATGGAGATCAGTCCGACCACCGGGGTGATCAAGGCTTGAAGTATGCCAGGCGTTGACATGCTAATCCTTGGCATTTTGTTGAGGACTTAGTTACCATACTACGGATACTATATGACTTACTCCACAGCCCTATTCCGGTACCTTTAAACAGTTGAAAGCTCCTAAGCTTAAGCACCCCAGGTATCGGGCCGAACCCTTCGAACATCTTCGTGCCGCCCTCACCAGCGCCGTAGTTGTCCGTCAACTCCAAGTTCATCAAAATGCCAAGAGCCACCGTGTAGAGAAGTGGTAGCCAGAACCGAGACCACCTGGACTCCGGGTGGAACCCAGAACAAAAACAAAGGGGTGCCCTTCTCGTGAATGAAAGGGGGCTGTTAAGGGAACCTACACCCTGAAAGTAAGTGAAAAAGGGCCCTAAACCCTAAACCCCAAACCCCAAACCTAAACCCTAAACCCTAATACTCTCTGGATCCTGGGTCCGAGCCACTTGTCAACAGTCCTCGACCACTTGAGCCAGTAGGTGTGGCAGCGCTTCGCATGCCGATTTTGCGAGCTGATGTAGTTCTCAGCGCCGAGCTTGATCCTAGGATGGCCCCGAAAAAACCCTCTGCGTTTAGGGTTTAGGGTTTAGGGTTTAGGGATATTCCTGAATATGATCCTCTGGCAAAATATAACATGTCCCAAGGGCCTACCTAGGATCTCTTTGAAGGGAGTGGTCCACATCAGCTCCACGCAAATCTCGAGGAAGTCCCCGCAGTCGAAGAGACGCTTCGGCTCCCAGGCATCATCCAATGTCTCTTCAAGGGTGGTCCGCGAGAGGCTCAAGTTTACAAAGCTTAGCATGGTGGCAGCTTCCTCTGTGGTAATCAATCCATTTGAGTCCGAGTCCAACAAATAAAAGAGGTTCTCAAAGAAGATTAAGCGTTCTGTGTCCGTCTCAGAAAACTTCCACTGCGAGAGCTCCTGCACCAGGACGGCTAGAACATGGGTATCCAGCAGCAGGATTACACAAATGCAGGACGCACTCGCTAACACCCACATGTTGACAGTCCTCAGAGCACAAGAAGTTCGTACTTAGTGCTTCGAACCTCTTTGAATCACCTAGTCAGGTCTCGGGACTTCTACTTCTCACGCCTGGG